GAGGTGATTCCGACTTTAATTTTTCAAGTTACGGCCATTTTGAAAAACGCCAAAATTCACAAAAATACCCAAGGCTATAGCCCATGGTTTTTTCCAAAAAATGATTTCGAAATCACCCCAAATTTTTATTACATTTTTTGATACATATTGATGTCCTTCTGCTGTGTAGCAAGTTTGAGGTGATTCCGACTTTAATTTTTCAAGTTACAGCCATTTTAAAAAAGCGCTAAAATTCACGAAATACCCAAGGCTATAGCCCATGGTTTTTTCCAAAAAATGACTCCGAAATTATCCCAAATTTATATTACATTTTTTGATACATATTGATGTCCTTCTGCTGTGTAGCAAGTTTTAGGTGATTTCGACCTCAATTTTTCAAGTTACGGCCATTTTTAAAAAACACCAAAATTCACAAAAATACCCAAGGCTATATAGCCCATGGTTTTTCCAAAAAATGACTCCGAAATTACCCCAAATTTTTATTACATTTTTTGATGCATATTGATGTCCTTATGCTGTGTAGCAAGTTTGAGCTGATTCCGACTTTAATTTTTCAAGTTACTGCCATTTTAAAAAATTCTAAAATCCTGAAAAATACCCAAGGCTATAGCCCATGGTTTTTTTTAATGGCTCCGAAATCACCCCAAATTTTTACATATTGATGTTATTATTTATTATTATTATCAATAGGTTAATTCCTTGTCCAGTCAGTCTGTGGTGGTGGAGGGTCCATTATTGGAAGGTCATTTGAATCTTATTGTTGAGCTGCTGACGTTTTCCTCAATTGAAGAGAGACACAGTTTAGGGAGTAAACCAGGAGGAATGAACCTCATACCTGTAAGGACACTGTACATGTGAATTATTACATGTGTATTTAATACTGTTGTACATGTGATTTATTAGTTAATACTGTTGTACCGTATAGTGCTTTAATTTTGCAGAGCTAAAATTTCGCGGATTGATAAAAATCAATTTTTCGCAGAAATAATTTTTGTGGATTTGCAATGTTAGTGCCACACCTTTAATGGCAATTGAAATTTTAGCGGATCTTTAATTTCGCAGTTTCATGCAAACCGCGAAAATAGCGAAAGTTTAGCTCCTCGAAAATAAAGCACTATATGGTACTTCTACATGTACATGTATACATGTAAATACAGTACTTATACATGTACATGTACTTTTATAAGATTTAAACTGTGGTACATGTTCATTAGGAATAGCTTTTGGAATGATAGCTTGGCATAATATTGCTTTTTTTCAGCAATTCCACTTTTTATGTAAATTCTTTTTTTTTCTCAGAACCTCATCAATCATTTCTTGTTCCCTGCATCAAGATTAGTGAAGAAACTAAAGACTACACCTGGTAATGACTGATACATTATACTTATTATTATTATTATTATTATTATTATTATTATTATTATTATTATTATTATTATTATTATTATTATTATTATTATTATTATTATTATTATTAATAGATCTACAGTACAATGATGAGTTAGCCAGTGGTATATGCTCCAGTCCTGACAGTATTCAAGCTTGTTATAAACTATTGAATGCACTGTGTGTTGGAGTGAAGGAGAACATTGAAATACTCAGTGAACTAATCTCTGATATATTCTACAATGGTGAGGCTATTACTGCTAGTATTAGCATGAACAATTAAATTACTGTATAAGTGGTTTTTAAGGGAATCATTATTTCGCGAAATCTGCTAAATTTGGCTAAATTTCTAATTTGTGGATTTTCAATTTTGCAAGTTATACATGTACCATGTGCCATGTGGGTAGCGTATTATATTTTTTTTTGCGGATTTAATTTTCGCAAATCAGGAAGAAATTAGTGAAATCTACAAAATTTGCAACCCTTGAAAAAACCACTTATACTGTACTTTATTTGTGAATGCATTAAAAGCCCAAACTTTAAAGAATTTGCAATACTTTTATTTTTTATTAATCCTTCAGATGAGCCTCCGTTGGTGGAGTGGGAGTATTATCCTCACGTTGGTCCTCGGCCCACTAGAGGGTATGTGGGACTGAAGAATGCTGGAGCAACCTGCTATATGAACGCTGTACTACAACAAGTAATACCTAATACACGTATATACATTTATTTAATTTTATTTAATATTTATTTATTAAAGTCTATTCACTTTCACCTGACCCCTGGCTTTTTTCAATTAATAAATAACTACGTCACATCCGCATTCTTTACGTATTTGTGGTTTTGGAATTGTTTTTGTTGCGTGGAAGGGATGCAGATAAGTAGCAGCTGAATTTAATCTGGCTGTTCTAGCTGCATAATTGCGGTCAAAGGTATGTCATTGAGTTTATACAGGGACATCCAAAAAAGGCTAAGGCCTTATCACTTTGACCCGATCTTTTTATCTAAAGGACGGGAAGGACCTAGCGATTCTAATGGTGCAAACAAAATTTCTAAATTCCATGTTGATCAAAAGTTATAACAAAAAATCAATAGGTCAGGTGAAACTGAATAGACTTTAGTACACTAGTATTATAATTATAGTTGATTATTTATTAATTTGTTTTTGTGTAGTTGTACATGATCTCTCCAGTCAGAAATGGTGTCCTCTCACTATCAGAGCCAGCAGTGCAGTTGATTAATGAAACTGACAAAACAGAACAAGACAATAAAGGAAAAGTAAGGAGACAACATTACTATTTATAGAACAACAGATGCTATTAATAGAACCAGGACTTTATGAATACCTTGCTTGCTTAGGCTCACCCATTAAATGTATTGTATTATTATTATTATTATTATTATTATTATTATTATTATTATTAATACATGTATCTCTCCTCTATGCAGTCAGTAGATGGTCCATTGGTCCCTGCTAGCACTGATAGAAAAGAGACACACATTAAGGTACTGATGCAACTACAGACCATATTTGGACATCTACTGGAAGGGAAGGTTCAATTCTATGTACCCAAAGGATTCTGGAAGGACTTCAGGTAATGAATATACTGTATCATACTGATGTGTGCTTTATTATTTATTATGTACATGTACATGTATGTGGTATTAGTATCCTTTATTAGTTTATATGGGGATGTATGGTGTTAGATATAGAAATAAATTAAATTTTGTGAGGCCAATCAATCTAACTAAAACTGGTAGACTTAAGGACCCCTAGGGCTAAATATGAGAGACCAAAAGCTGAAAAATGGGACAGATTTCAGGAGACCTAGACTAAATATGGGAGACCAAAAGTCTCCTAAACTCCCTCCAGATCTAACAGTGATTATACATGTACATGTACTGTATAGCGAAAAATTTATGAGGGCTCTAAATTTTGTGGATTTTGTGATTTTTTGAAGATTTGCGAAAATTACATGCACTTCCATGAAAATCAAATTATTAGAGTACAAGATGGCAGACAGCATAAATTTATGAAAATTAATCCACAAAATAGATTTTTTATGTAAATTTGCAAAATTTACAGCCCTTGAAAAATTTTGCTCTACACAAGACATTATTTAATATTTCCCCTCCTCTACAGGTTGGAGGGTCAGCAGGTCAACCTCAGAGAGCAGCATGATGCCTTTGAGTTCTTCAATACACTAGTGGACAGTGTAGACGAGGGACTCAAGGCTTATAATGCCACACCAATCATCAGTCAAGTACTGGGAGGATCCTTCGCTGATCAGAAGATATGTAAAGGATGCCCTCACAGGTAGGGGCGGGGCAGTGGGCGGGGCTTATAGGATATTTATTGTATATGGATGTCAGGAGATTATTTTTTTTTAATAAAATAAAGAGAGTAGAAATAATGCATGCATGAAAAATACAGTACAGTATATTCATTGTAGCTCAAGAATCAGTTTTTCATTAAGATCTAAGAATGTTGTAAGACAAAATAATAAATTGCTATAACTACTACATGTATTAGTAAGTAAATACTTTTAAAAATACTTTTTAACTACTATTGCTTTTCTTTATTGTTGTTAGTCTTGTTTTGATAGAAAGTCACAAACTGTTTTCACTTCTTCTCCAGTGATACTATACTGAGCTCTTGCTTGTATCTCCGTACCACTGAAATCCATGAATATCTCGTATTTTCTCTCTTTCCTTGGTATATTATCAGGATTAGGAAGATCAAGTATTAGCTCACCAATCTTATGTACTGTTAGTTTACCTTCTTTATCTACTATATACTGAACTCCATCATCTGTTGTACAGTATATAGGAATATGTTGTTGTGTCCACCTTTGATAAGAAGGTATAAATGATGCCTTATATATTTCATTCTTTATCTCTTCTCCTTTGAGTACAAATACCTCGAATACATTGCCACAGCGTTGTACACCTTCTTCATTTACACGTTTGTAGTGTTCATCATGTATTGATGGGTTGAATGCTATTGAAGCACTTGTCCCATAGGTAGCATCAGCAACACGTGATTGGATTATATTAGGGTCTTTCCTCCACATTACTGCTCCTGTTACTACAGCAAGACCTGGTTGTACAGGACACACTATATTATCATAAAGCATGCCATGATGCTCAGCGATAGCTTCTTTTATCCTTTGACTAATAAACCTACACCCTCCAAACCCTCCTACCAGATAAACTGTATCGATTCCATCAGACTTCAGATCATGAAATGCTTTTCTAACACACTCAATGATCTTATCAACTGTTGACTTGAATACCTTCTCTTCTAACTGACAATAGTTTATTTCTAATGAACCATCTCCAGGATCATAATGCATGTCCATCTTCTTTAATTCACGAAGTTTAGTACCATAGAATGATTCAAAGGCCAGAGGTAAGGTCAGCACCATTTCGTTAGTGCCTTTTGGTTTGTCACCGAATGTTTTCTTCTGTTCTTCAAATTCTCCATAGAAAAATTTATTCAGAGTTGCTTTAGCACGAGTTGGATCTGAAGCTAAGAAAGACTGGAAACCTTTATCCTTCACTACCTCTTCCAGTATCATTGACAGTGCTTCATTGACAGTAGTACCTCCCCAGGTGTTACCCATTGGTAGTAGTACTACACTAATTCTCCCATTACTCTTATCATGTACAGTAATATCAACTGTACCTCCTCCTATATCAACTACCATATATCTCTCTGGAGGTGTTCCTGATACTTCTGACTGATGCTGTGCAGCTATAGCAGCTACTTCTGGTTCTAGAGCTAATGATAGCTTCTCAGGATTAACCTCCTCTGGACGTGGTAAAGGGGAACCAACTGGAGTGAACCTTGTTATACCAGGAGCATCAGAAGTGAGACCAGCCTATCATATTAACATAATGAAATACAAAGCATGTATTAGGTTACCATATAAGCAGCTTCTCTCATCATTCTTCTTGCTCTTGCTTTCCATATAGCAGGAACAGTAATGACCCAATCAAAATCACTTGACTTGTAGTTTCTCTTCAGATGATCAGTGAGTAGCTTCTCCTTGAGGTGTGTTAGTATAAAAGCTATAACTTCAATGAGATAATAAGAACCACCAGTGAATGAAGAGACTTGAGTAGTACGATCTATTTCCTACAATAATATAAGTGTATTTGACTGTTCAATCTTTTCTAACTCACTGTATCTCTCTCCAGTAAGGTCTTTATTCGCTCAAAATAAATGTAATTTTGAGTTTCTTTCTTTGTGCTGTAAATGCTCTGTGCTTTGTATCCAATCCCAGTGACTTCACCACATTGCTGGTTCTCCTTGTCCTTGAATATCAGTATAGCATTAGGTACCCTCTCATAAGTACTGTGTAGTGGTACTAGTTTGACCTGTCCATCAGTTGGAGTGGTGTATGCTACTGATAGTGATGAGGTACCAAAGTCAATAGCTGCTATACAACTGCTCCCTTGTAGTACTGGAGTGACTTTTGGTATATTCACAGCCCTGCATAGTGGCTCCAATGGTCCTTTAGATAAAGCCATGGTCAGTATAGGAGAGTTAGAAGGAATTCATGTAACATTAGTGGAACACACATGTGACTGCTTTGATATTGTGTTTGTGGGATATGGTGGGATGATCCTACTCAAATAATAATGATATTCATCCCACTGAATTATTATTGCATATTCAATTGTAATTATTATTATTAGCTTCAGATCCCATATGCTGGCATTATCATTATGCTGGCATAATTCACTAGTGATGGGCGAATCCAGGAATTTGCATTCGATTCCAATTCTAAATACTTCTGAGACTGGAATCAATGGAATCGAATACCGATTCCGAGACTACATCTGTGCATGCGCAAAGCCACGTGGTATCAATTACAGTAATAATTAAGGTATTAACTACTGGTTTTAAAACTATTATTAATATTAAAAGGTGTGGTTGGGTGTGGTTTAATTCGGAATTGTTTCAAACGATTCCTACTTCTCTTTCGATACGAGTACGATTCCATTCGGAATCGAAGGATCGAATACTCCTGACTCGGAATCGCCCATCACTATAATTCACTCTCTGACTATTATCATACTGTTGGCATATGACACTTAAGGCGGATTTACAATATGACATTAGGCCAGCGTACCGTCAATTTTTAATCAAAAACGTGGGCGATTTGACCTTTTGACGCATGCTTTCCGCTGGAATAGAACCAGATTCTATTCCAGCGTCAACGTAACGTCAGGACTAGCGTAATATTGTAAATCCGCCTTTAGTCCTTTAGCCTCACTCACACAGTCACACTTTGCATAGGCAAGAGACTAGATGTTTCACCGTGTTCAGAGGCGTACCCAGGGGGGCTAAAAGGGGCTTGAGCACTCCCCTCATGGCTGGAATCAGAGAATTCTTTAAGTCCTGGTGTCTCATATCATTGCTAAGTGTCTTAAGAAAGTTTTTAGGACACTTGACTATCATTTCAGCCTCAATTTCAGCATTTTCCATTGCTTTAAAGGGCAATAGGAAGCGCCAGAGTTCCTGAAATTACTGTGACCCTGCCTATTATTAATGAATAATCTTCGAAAATGGAGGAAAACACTATTATAGCGCCGTAAAAAAGGGTGTGGCCAGAATCACCGCACGCTTTGCGTGCCATTATCACCCTCCTCTTCCAATTCCTGGGTACGCCTCTGGTTTTGTGTTATCAGTCTCTTGTGTTACAAAAATTATTAAACAGCTCATGAATAAAGTCCTTTTTACACTTGTTGATGCAAGCCCTGTTTACACAACAAGCCAGTTTTTAATTGAGTCCACATGAACTGTGGTTAAATCAGTTTAACATTGCATACAAAATACAGCTCCTTTAATATTTAAACTGGATTGATTATCTCAGGCATGCAGGCTACATTTACATGGCAACGCAAAGTGTATTGTTTTAAAATGGTACACTTTGAACATAGTCTCGCTAGCCAGACTCTAATTTACTGAATAAGAGTCTGGTGCCATGCCTAATATTATAGATTTTATAACTACATAATCTATGGTTAATCTTTGTAAACACGTCCATGCTCTACAGTATTCAACTCATAGTGAATTTTATTATATTGATCTTACTCAACATGCTTGCTTGAATAAGGCAAGGTATGAGGACATCAAGGAAAAGGGAAGTAGTAAAGTGCTCTTAAGCAGGGTGAGACTATTCTCAGCAGTACTGAAGTTAGAGCAATCCCATATAGAAAAATCAAGGTTGTAGCATGATTGTGGCAACCTTGTAACAAGTTAGTTGTCAATAGGTTGTCACTACCTGGTCACAACCTTGTAAAAACCTTGGATTTGGCACGTTTTTTGGCTTGTGACAACCTTGTCACAACCTTCTCACAATGTACAATGAATTTAATAGAATAAATATAATCTGAAAGACTATCAACATGCATATAATAATTATTAAACCTCTTAATCCCATGTAGTTTCAAATGATTTCTAGATACTTGTATATCTATGATACATGTAGCTAATGTATAAATAAAGATGTGGATGTGTATTAATGTTATCTTTATTGACTTGTATAAGTGCTGGTCAATGGTCGATCCCTTTATATATGGTAGCAATAGCTTCATATCATCGTGGGGCGCACTTAATGAAACCTCAGTTTCCTGTCAACCTTCAGAACACCTTGTCACAAGGTTGTTATGTTTCTTACATGTTAGTCACAACTTCAGCACTTTTATACAAGGTTGTCACTAGGTTGCTCACAACTTTATCACTTTTATACAAGGTTGTTATTAGGTTGCTCACAACTTTATCTCTTTTATACAAGGTTGTTATTAGGTTGCTCACAACTTTATCACTTTTATACAAGGTTGTCACTAGGTTGCTCACAACTTTATCACTTTTATACAAGGTTGTCACTAGGTTGCTCACAACTTTATCACTTTTATACAAGGTTGTTATTAGGTTGCTCACAACTTTATCTCTTTTATACAAGGTTGTTATTAGGTTGCTCACAACTTTATCACTTTTATACAAGGTTGTCACTAGGTTGCTCACAACTTTATCACTTTTATACAAGGTTGTTATTAGGTTGCTCACAACTTTATCACTTTTATACAAGGTTGTTACTACTGAGGTTGCTCACAGCTTTATCACTTTTATACAAGGTTGTTATTAGGTTGCTCACAACTTTATCACTTTTGTATAAGGTTGTCACTAGGTTGCTCACAACTTTATCACTTTTATACAAGGTTGTCACTAGGTTGCTCACAACTTTATCACTTTTATACAAAGTTGTTACTAGGTTGCTACAACTTTGCAAGGATGTGACCTGGTTGTAACAACCTTGGAATTTCTATATGGGATCGGAAATTTGGAATTCATGCACATTATTTTAAGAGAGAGGGAGCTAGAAGCATTTCTTTACTTGCCTAATTGTCTCACCATCAGAGCAAATAAAGGCAGTTCAGTCGGCAGTTGTAGTCATAGAAAGAAACTTTAAAAAGTGTAATAGCTCAGTTAGTTCCACTCTTGATAATTATAGACTTACCATTGTGTGGGCAGTTACTAATGTAACCATGGTAACAGTGATTTAATTGGGTTGACCAAATTCTGTCAGACACTGAGACAAACACGAGTTGAGATTAGGCATGAAACCAGACTCTATTTTAAAAATTTAGTCTGGCCCTGCAAGACTACTTTGACTGAACTTTGTTATTTTTGTTTCTATATAGTTTTATTATGTTTTTATTTGTTTCT